AAAGAGAGGAGGGGAAGGAGGTGGAGGGGTAAATGAAATCCCATCTCCCTGCCTGTTAGGAAAATGAGAATAAATAGTTTGTAACTAATCATTTTCAATTTGTGGGAGCTGAAACTATGCTTTGTGTATCTCACTGATAATGTTAGAAAGAAGTCAGTCAATAGCGGAGCCCATTAGTTGACAAATAAGAGCCTAATGAGATGGTTATATGTTCCTCACACAGTAACGAAACTGATATACTTGTAATCAATGCTGACAATATATCTACCAGCGAGCGACGTCAAGGCAGTGTTGAGAAAATGGCAAAATAATAATAATTGTACATCCCACATATTGCCGACTGAGATGGAAAGGAGCCTGGGCATTAAAGGTGGAAATCAGGAGAACAGTCTGCCAAAATACAAATGTGATGTGTGACAAACTCCCCTTCCCAAGTGAGTTTGCTACGATCTCCTGGAAGAGCCTGGTTGCCAGCCTCCTGCCCACAGACTATGGGCCCTGCAGGGAAACCTGTAAGAGACTTTTTAACTGGCTTGGTTTGTGTAATTTCCCTATACCGTTCGGGTACTGAACGAACCAGGTACCACCCGGGAGCTTGCTAACCCCTATTAACACCTTAGAACGGCTCTCACCTCAGTGTTCTAATTGCTCGTCTGGATGGCCACAATTCGTATGAACGACCATGAGGTGGCGACCATCTTGTTCACATGAACGCAGGCAGTGTTCGAGACATTGAGAATCTCGAACACCGCTGGACCTCCATCATTGCCTGCATTTTGTTCGGTAGATCCTAGAAGAACACTGTTCAGTGGAATTGTTTGTCTGGGTGAGGGGAACAAGCTACATGGTTTAAATATAGACTACGTTCTGTAATTCTTTCGTTTTATGTTACCAAAGTTGACTGACCGCTAGCCCTGATTTCATGGAACGGTTTTGGGCATGGGACCATGTGTGCGGTTGGTCAAATAATTGACTTCCATGGAAATCTCGAACCCCTGAAACGATCTGGCTGATTTTTGTATGTGTTGGTCACCCAGATCGGGGCTATCAGGGTTTTCTGTATATTTTAACATTGTGGTTTTCTGTATATTTTATGTGCATTTTGGGGTGTTTTATAAATTGTGTGTTTTCTGTGCCTCAAGATAATAGAGATTGTACAGTTCCTGACTCAATTATCTCTTAGGAGATTACCCTTTTTTTTGTGTGGGTGTCTCCCAGAACTCCCAGAACTATGTGTCGGCTGGTTGCTAGGAGGGGAAAGGGCTAATCACTGTTCCAGCTTGTTAAGCGTGGAGGATTCAGCAGGGAAAGTCCTTGTAAGGAACCCAGCTCCCAGGACTGTGTGTCATCCTGTCACTGGGATTGGATAGAGCAAGTCCCCATGCCTGCTCCAGGGCAGAGAGGTTCCAGGACCCGAGTCAAGTCACGGCGACTGGGGGGCAGAAGTGCTGCAGTTTTTCCACTGTTACAGCTAGGAAGCGGTCCTTGGCGGAGGTACCGTTACATGATGCATCACTCCCTCTATCATACAGCGAGACACCCCATTACTGACAAGCAGTGATAGAATTACCCCAAGCGTTAGGGATAATGTGTTCGTGTCCCAGTCCCTAGTTATAGTGACACTAGCCCCTTTCGGGCCATAAAAATAATTTAAAGAAAAGGTTTTTACTTTTCCAGTGATAGCTGGAGTTCTACTCTCCCCATCCATGGATGTCATGCTAGAGGCGTGGCCTATTCCATGATGGTCCAATCAATGGTCCTCACAGAGGCTGTGCATGCATTCAATCAAATCATGTGACTGTGCAGGGGAAGCACCTCTTGTGACTCAGTATCAGGGACTAAACCTTACAATGTAACATAACGTAACTGCAATGTTTTACATTACAGGGTTAGGAGTTAAATCCCTTTGTTTATGAACCCTAGTCACACCTCCCTGCATGTGACTTGCACAGCCTTCCATAAACACTTCCTGTAAAGAGAGCCCTATTTAGGCTTTCTTTATTGCAAGTTCTGTTTAATTAAGATTTTCTTATCCCCTGCTATGTTAATAGCTTGCTAGACCCTGCAAGAGCCTCCTGTATGTGATTAAAGTTCAATTTAGAGATTGAGATACAATTATTTAAGGTAAATTACATCTGTTTGAAAGTGAAACCAGTTTTTTTTTCATGCAGGCTCTGTCAATCATAGCCAGGGGAGGTGTGGCTAGGGCTGCATAAACAGAAACAAAGTGATTTAACTCCTAAATGACAGTGAATTGAGCAGTGACATTGCAGGGGAATGATCTATACACTAAAACTGCTTTATTTAGCTAAAGTAATTTAGGTGACTATAGTGTTCCTTTATTAATTCATGCATACTGACATTTTGAAGCCATCTCTTGTCTACCTTTTCCACTTCCCTTTTCTCCCAGCCATCGTGATGCACCTCGAGTCAGACTGTCACTTATTCCAGCCAATCCTTACTATTTTGCAACCGATTTGCATATTGAACATAGGCTGGGATGACTCGTAATCTCACCCAAGATGCTATGCTTTGTACAGTATAAAACAGACAATGAATGCTCCACAGACAATACAAGTACTTGTATGGTTCAAGAAAAACAGCTTCCCGTATATGTTTGTGAGGGAGGGTGAAGCTTATAGCTGGGGGGATTACTGCATTATCATTTACTGTAAATGCAATATAAATGCAAGTTATAAAAGCTGCATCTTTATGAGCCCAAACATAAATTTGGCAGAAGTAGCAGATACCACTGTTTGTGGTCTGTTTGTATAAAACCTTTTGTGTTGTGTTTTATGATGAGTCTCCCTGTAGATGGCTGATGTACTGGGCAATATGAAGTAAGTTCATGGCTATGTATTGATTGTATTGTTACTTCCCACAGGAAGAGATAGAGTTAAGGGGCCACACCTAGATGACTGCTAATTTCCTGGTGGTTATAGTATCCCTTTAATTCTCACAGTTTAGCACATTATGTTAAGTTAGAGAGAGTTCCTCCACATTATATGTGAGTCCACTCGCTCGCAAATCTGCTGATTCACTCACAGACGGACATCTTTCAGATGTAGAACAGTAGTCTAATAAACGTGAACGTTTCTAAACAAAGTTGGACAAAAAGAGGTCAGAGTCCCTCCCCCGCCCAGCTCTTTTTAAACGCTATATTAATGAACTGGAGTAGACTGCTGCTATAGATTAACGAGTGACGGAGGAGATCAGATCGTGACCTGGCTGCCTCGGAAGAATATGACGATAAACCATGACCAGCCTTAGAGTCCTATTAAACAGGTCGTACCCTGGTAGGCAGATCACAAACTCACTGTACCAGAGATTGATTAATGTGCTGGGGACGTTCCCCAATGACTTTCAAAGCCATACCTCGTTGGCTGTGTTGTGCGTTCCCACTATCCGGATGAAACACATCGGCTGTCGGTCAAATGAAATCGTCTGCCATGACCTGGTAAAATAAACAAAGAGAATGGATCAGTTGGAATAAAACAAAATTGCAGAATTTGCACACCTGATGGGCAATACATTCACAATTCATGGGATCTTGGCATTACCATTTAAAAGAAACAGAAAAATAATGAGAAAAACACAATGTTATTAACACAAAAAGTATTGCCGCGCACCTGTCCTGTCCTGTTTTTTACTGTACAAATAATTCTTTAAAGGGTCCTTCCAAGCAAAACGATCACTCTATTGATAAGAAGTGTCCATGGTGCTAGGAGTCTATGAGCAGCATTTCAAAACACTGCACATACAGAGCTTAACCCTTCTGCTTCCATTTCAAAACACTGCACATACAGAGCCTAACCCCTCTGCTGCCATTTCAAAACACTGCACATACAGAGCTTAACCCTTCTGCTGCCAGAGGTGTAACCCCACCTTAGGCAGCATCATTGGGTCATCGTTAGCCATCATCAGACTGAACAAAGGTTCCGGGTAACTAATGGGAATTCTGTGAAAAAAGGGAATCTGATACCAGCACACAGCCTGCTGGTACTAGACAGCCAATGGCGGCATGCCCGCTCCTCCATACTGCCCATATCCTCCTCTCAGCCAGCCCTCCGTGATGGGAGGGACATTAGCAGAAATAGATCAGACAGTGCAGAGAACTTGGCCTCAGCATTGGACTTTTAGCGCTTTTATTAGTTTTAGTGGGACTTGTATAACTCTGACCAAAACAGTGTATTCTTAAAACGCTATATTTTTGGGATTGGAGTTAATCTTTGAAAAGGAAATGTTAAATTGCAGATTTTTGCACAAACAGCTAGCTAACTACAATTATGGTATCTACAGCCAGTGATTAGTTATGCTATTTATTAAAAATATCACTAGCACGCACACAGCACTACTGAACAATCACTAGTGCACTCATGCACATTTCTCTGTACATGTCCGAGCACGTATGAACGTGTTCAAGGCATCCTGGGGCGGCTCTGCAGTGGCCCATAACTTTTAGGGGCTGGCTAGTAGTGTGAAGCATGAGCACGCCATTAATCATGTAATAAAATAACCCAGTGCTGCCATTATCCAGGGTGACTTGTCTTCATGGGGCATTTTTTTTTTTTATATACAGATACGCTCTCAGACTGCATGTCCGGAGGAGGAAACTCAGGATTTACTAACGTTATTGCACAGTAGCCACCAGAGGTGTCAGCTTGGCAGCAATCTTCTCTTTCAGTCTACGTGTCTGTGTTATAAAGACAGGATTTCTGATCTCCAGGTATTTAGTTCAGATCACACAGAATGACCATCTATTTTACCCCAAATCAGGAGATGACATTACAATACAGACAATGGGAATATTTTACTATTGTGCGCCTGATAGCCATGAATCAAAACACCAAAACACAGGCAACAATAAGCCTAATTTCCTTCGACAGCAACACCTTTCCTTCTTTATTCAAACCAAACCTGCTCCCATAAATGTAGACATGTCACCTAGTGATGTCGCGAACCGTTTGCGAACTTGCCGCGAACGGTTCGCCACGAACTCCGGTCAGCTGACACATCCCTGCCAATCTCCGGCAGACCCTCCCTCCCAGACCCTCCTACTTCCTGGACAGCATCCATGTTGAAGGCAGCTTCAACATGGATGCTGTCCAGGAGGTGGGAGGGTCTGGGAGGGAGGGTCTGCCGGAGATTGGCAGGGATGTGCCAGCTGACCGGAGTTCGCCACGAACGGTTCGTGGCGAACCACGGCGAACCGTTCGCGGCAAGTTCGCGACATCACTAATGTCACCCCAAAATGTATATACCAAACAAACCGGTTAAAGAAACCTGAACAGCTTGCCTTGAATCATACAGAGATTAATGAATATTATAGGAAATTAACAATTAACTGTATGTACGAAAATTAACCTTTGTGGACAACTCCATTAACACATCAATCTCCAGGACTTAGGGAACAAAGAGTGTGTGACGGAAAGCCTGGCACCCCGACTGGGTTCCTCTGTCAATCGCTGCTTCCTAGTACTTGCGAGCACCATAAGCACTGCACTGGAACACCATAACCACCGTAAACCCCACAAACCGCCGCAGCTTGGTTGAGGTCTCGCTTTCCTCCACCCACCCTGGACCCAAGACCAGAATCCAGCTTCCAGTGGGTAGACTTCTCGTAGTCTAGAGAGCGAAGCAGGCTGCTCTTACAAGAGCAAGTGTTGTGATCCAAGGGAGTATAGTGATTATAGCAATCCCCAGAGTGTAAATATAGCTCTCCAATCCCCCAAACATTAGCCTAGACATCATGAAGGGTAAAACGAATCTCAGTTTAATGGTAGCCACAACTGGTATTTTATGACAGTCCTAATGCAAGGGGCACTCCCCCCTGGACCTGAGAGTAAACCACAGTAGAAATAAATACACAATCACATTGGCTCTCAGATCCAGGACACTCCCATACAAAATCAGATAATCCCTCCTCTGTGCCTGATAATTGGATCAGGAACTGTACTAAGCTAATCCGATTATCTCCAAACACAGAAAAAAAAAACATACTTTTTCCCAAACACCCCAAACGTACCCTGATCTGGGTGACCAACATATCAAAAAATCACCCAAATCAGTTCAGGAATTTCCTGGAGGTCATTTGTTTGGTCCCATGCCAAAAACAGTTCCAGAGAATCAGGGATTGCGGTCGGTCTAGTTCGGTAGTTTAAAAACTAACAAACTACCGAACAGAGTCAATAGTCTTACCCTGGAGCTTGATCCCCTTGTTCGTGGGAACGTTTCCACCGAACAGCGCTTTTCTAAGTGTTGTGGAACCGAATGCAGGCGATGCTGGAAGTCCAGCACTATTCAGGAGTTTCTGTGTCCGTTTTCAGTTCCATGAGACTCATTCCCAAACACTGCTGCCTGCTTTCATGTGAACAAGATGGCCACCACCTCATGGTCATCCATAGGAATTGCGGCCACCCAGACAAACACTTGGCATCTAACTGTTCCTGCTTAAAGCAATCCACAGGTGGGGATTATTCCACCGGCGCATTACAAGTAGAGCAGTACTCCCTGCTCTACCATTGTGAGTATAATTTATTTTATTTTATTTTCTGCTTTCCCTTCCTACTGAGAGCACTATATTTGTTTTTATATACCGTGCGAAATTCTACGGAATCCAAGCCGGACGGAGTGACCTATCTTCACAGAATATCCATTAGCGGGGATTATACCGCTAAGTGCCTTACAACTAAGAGCTGGTCCAAAGCTCCAACAAATGTGAGTGTATTATCCTCCATTTTACTACATTTCGCTAATCCTCTCAGTACATACTATACCATTGGAAGTTTGTTTATGTTTTTATCTTTCATATACGGATTCCCTGGAAACTTGGAAGGATTAATCTTTCAGGTCTGTACATATACAGCTTATCTACGTATCAGTGAGATGTCTTTTATGCATGTCATTGGACTTTTCAAGTTTTATTCTTATTAGTGCACGGACTTTGTTTTACCTTTTTATTGTATTTTTTACTACATATTTTTATCCTACCATTATTTTACACTTGTATATTTTATTTATATTTTATTTACTTTTATCCAGTGCAGCCCTTCACCCCTTCTTTTTTTATTAGGGTTCTTGAGGGATTCCCTTTAGAGGGTTGCAGCTCCTATTTTTGCCATCTAGCGCAGACTCCTCCTCCCCTATCTTTTCTACTTAGAACACTGTGGTGGAAATTGTTACAAAGTAGCAATTAGGCTTAACAAACTCCAGGGTGGTCTTTGGTTGGTGCGGCTGTTCGGTTCCCGAACCAAATATAAAATCCCACAAACCAAGTCTGTTCACATAGTTTTTTTTATAGGGCCCTTTTGGTAAGAGGCTGGCCAGCTGGCCCCTCCAAGAACACGTGACTGTAAGGATATGAAATAGTTAACTCTTTTTGCATTATATGCTTTAAAATAATGTTTGAAATAATTATGCTGACCTTGGCAGATGTATTCTGTAACATGCTTTGAGAGGCCTCCCTTCTATAGGATGTATGACCTTGCTCGACATCAGGATGTTCCTGTCCCGTCTTTATTCAAATGCTTATCTTTTAATGTCAGGCAAGTATGTACTATTAACTATAAGGAAGCGATAAATCTAGCTGCTTGCGTGACAAACTGTGTATAAATGCTAACCCTGAAAATATACTCACTGAGAACTTGTTAAGCACTCTTTCGTGTCTGTGTCTTAATTTGCTAAACAAGAACTCTCGTCAATTGATGTGGTGACCAGAGAATCGAGGGGAGTTGAGTCCAGAACAGCATTAACCCTTTCAGCTTGGTATCAGAAGTGGGATCAGCAAAACCATTGTGGGTAAGTAGCCTTTTTGTGTCTTATTGACGCTGACTGTCTATGACCCCCTTTGATTCAGTAAGTCTGTATCCAGTAGATAGGAAAGCTGTAAGCATTTTAGTTATACTGAGACTGTAAATAGGTCTCTGGTTTTTACTGGACAGTTGGTCTAGTATAGGGTTCTTGGTAACCCTATAACCCAGGTTAGTATCTAAGATAGATACAGGGTATCTCATGTAGATACATTTTTTGAGACTATAAAGGAGTCTCCGGTTTATTAAAACTATAGGTGTTGTAGAATAACCCAAACTTCTCGTTCATCTGGTCACCCTGTGTCTGCTTTGTGTTTATTTTGCTTGTTAAGTAGAGACACACTATTGGTAAGTAGGTAGTGTCTCTATCCTGAGCCAGAAATATGGGAAATAATCAGTCTATTTCTTAGCCTTTACCCCACCCAGGGGAGTCATGTCTAAATTATGTTACTAGGATAGGAGCACAAGGAGGATTTCTTACAATCCCCTTTGTGTCAAATTTAGCAGGATGGACACAGACTATGAAGTCATCTGATCCTTTTCCCAGGTGTGGGGCTAATGATGATTTCCATATGAATATGATTCGAGGATTGTGTTTGGGAGATAGGAAGTCATGGCCGTGGTATGATCCTGATCCAGATTGGGATAAGGAATATATGAAAGCAGGAGGTGAAAATTGGATGCAGATAGCCCCTCATTGGTTTCCTTGTAGTGTAACAGGAAAGGTTTTAAAGGGAGCTAAGAAAGACCTGGCTAAGAGAAAGGGAACTGTTGACAGTAATACCATCCGCTTTCCCATAGAAGCCCCTCCTGAGACTCTATATCCACCACCAATTGTGCTCCCTACCCAATCAGCCCCCGGCCATGCCCAACCACAACCCCCACCTCCCTATAAAGCCATGTATCCTGCTGTACCCAATGCCCCCTCAGAGGATGATATAGAAGATATTTGTATTGCTGCAGCTGTTAATTCACAATCACAGCAATTACATGAATCATCATCTACACCAGATTCTGATATAGAATATCCACCGCCACCTCCCGGTACAATTAAATTAATAGTACAAACAGGAGTTAAACTTAAAAGTGGCAAGGTGTTAAAAATCACATGTACATAAGCAATGTGATGATGATGTAGAGATGCCAGAATTAGAAGGTGCTGATCTTACTGCCCCATTCATGACTGTTGGTAATCAGTTAATAATGAAACCCATTAATCCCGGAGTACTCAAATACATTATTCAAGGTGCCCCAAACCCCCGTACTAATCCCTCTGCATGCCTAATGTATCGGAAAAGAATGTGCTTAAGACAGAACATGACATAGATAGACATACAGTTAATTATCAATGGAATATTAGGGTATGACTCAGATTCTGGTTGGGATTGGTCTAGGGTACCCTCTATCAGTGAGACAGACAACGGTACTGGAGTTGGAGAGGCTGGTAGTGATGGTGATTATGAGGTGGAAGCTGAAATGTTGAGATTATGGAAGAATAAGCAGTTTATATCCACTGCTTTGGCAGTGTAAGCAAGGTGCAAAGGAAGATATTGGTATTTTTGTAAAGAGATTTTTGAGGTTTCTCAACAGCCCTTGCTATGCTTTACCCCATGGAAAATCTACTCTGTTCATGGGATCTGAGCGCTGTTCACCTAGATTGGGCACTCAGATCCGAGCTATCTGGGGATAGGTTAAATTGTGGGGGTTCTGTGTAATAAAATAAGAATTATGTATTTTTATGTACTTTTACGTATTTTGCTGTTAGTGTTAAATGTAGGTATTTTCTGTACCTGGAGATAATTGAGTTTACTGCAGTGCCTTAAGCCAATTATCTCCAGGATGGAGAGGAGGTATTTCATTGTGTATGTGAGAGTGTTATCATGTTAATTAGTGTTCCCATTGGTTTGTGTCCCTTTTGTCACAGTTTACCACCAGGTCCAGGGGTGTGCCTCTGACCTGAAAACTTGTATATAAGGAGTAATAAACGCTCATTGGAGTCAGATCATCATGTACCTTCATGAAGTTTTGGCTCCTGTTTGGGGGATTGGAGAAACTACACTCTGGGGATTGCTATAATCACTATACTCCCCAGGGTATAATCACTAAGCTCTGCTAAGAGCTTGTTCCTGTTCCTGCTCTCTGGAATTCGGAGAGAGGTCGACCTGCAGGAAGCTGGACCCTGGTCCTGGGTCCAGAGTGGGTGGAGACAGCGAGATCCCAACCAAGCTGCGGCGGTTCGTGGGGTCTGCAGTGGTTATGGTGTCAGGCAGAGTGCTTGGAGTCCTCGGAAAGCACTAGGAGCATCCATCGGCGGAAGGTACCCGGTCGGGGTGCCAGCGGTTCCGTTACAGATGGAGAC